CAGCGGATGATTGGGAACCAATTGGTGATCACAAACCACACAAATGTCAACACAAGTGAACCCAATGTATATCTCAGACACTGTTTTGCTTTTACAACACTTGTGTCGCTCACAGCCTATCAATACATGTCTGTATGAGTCACACCATTCACTCACACAAACACCCCTATTATGTACACCCCTTGTGACCACTTTGTGTCCACCCGTCTCTATAGTGTACTAATTGACCACATTTACTATAATTAGGCAAATATAGCGTACATTATATATCGCATATTTCCTATTCTCGTTATAGTGAACACATTGTAAATCTGCGTGTATTATATACCGCGCGTATACTGTATGCGTAGAGCCATTCATATATGAGGTACGGATGACGTCATAGGGTTTAAGGGGATTGAAGTGTAAAAGTGTTGTCGTATTGTATTTATAGGCAAATGGAGTGTCAAATAGTGTCACGAAATGCGTGAATGAATTGAACGGCAAATGAGAAGCGATTTGTGTTAGTGTTGAGGAAAACACGACTCAAACACTCAATTAATCACAAAGTTTTGGGTTTTTATTCAAAAACCATTACTTTTAGGCATTAATTGTAATTAAATCTCTGTTTTTGTGTCACACTATTTGATCAGCACTTCCTTCACAACACTCCACACGACTGTCACCGAAGAGACAGACAGAGAGACCGACAGCGAGAGAGACATGGATTTAGATATACTGAAGGCAGGAGTTGTGGGCGATTCGGCCAAACCGGTGGTCAGTCTGACAAACATAAACCCGAACTCAACGGTGACTGACATCAAAAAGGCGATCCATCGACAGAAGAAGTCTCTATACCCGGAGCGCCAGTCCTTGCGTTTGGAGACTCGCGGCAAACCGTTGGCCGACAACGCGGTGCTCAAGACATTGGACTTACAGAAGGGACGAGTGCTGTACGTGAAAGACTTGGGGCCGCAGATCGGATGGTCGACCGTATTTCTGGCCGAATATATGGGACCGCTGTTTGCGTACCTCATCTCATACACGAGGCCGGTCTGGCTGTACGGCCAGAGCGCCAGCGCACCCATGAGTTACGCGGTGCACGCGGCGGCCATTTGCTGGTCAATCCATTACCTGAAGCGTGTGTTGGAGACACTGTTTGTGCACCGGTTCTCGCACTCGACAATGCCTTTACTCAATTTGTTCAAGAATTGCAGCTATTATTGGGGCTTCGCTTTCTATATCGGGTATTACGTGAATCACCCCTTATATACCGAACCCTATTTCGGCAAACTTCAGGTCTATTCGTCGCTCATAGCGTTTCTCGTCTTCGAGTTGGGAAACCTATCCATTCATTTGGCTCTTCGAGATCTGCGACCGGCCGGCAGTACTGAGCGACGCATTCCGATGCCGACCGCCAATCCATTCACAATCCTCTTCCGATACGTGTCGTGTCCTAACTATGCGTACGAGTGGTACTCGTGGGCGGCGTTCA